CAGCTTGTTTATTCTTTCACAGTACTTTATCTACTTCGATGTCACTCTTTTTTTACCCGCATGTTCTTTGTGTAATACTGTGAAGTGTGGCACCTGAAGCCGATGCACTTGTATGACAGATTGCTCGTTGATTTTGTCAGTCAGTCAGTCAGTCAGTTACTCCTTGTTTAAGTATGTGGAGTGAAGTGGCGGAAGGGGTCGCATTAGCCTGTATAGGTTAGCTTCTGACGAAATCTGGACTCGTTAGTGAAAAACGTGTTTGGAATTAGTCAACTTGCATCACTTTTGGGGTCAACGAGAAATCCAACTGCTTATGAAAGGATGACTATACTATTCAGCAGTCCACTCTATATCATACTGTATAACTGTGAAGCCTGGTTGTTGAAAGTAGAAGACACGAGTATCTTTGAGGTTTATTGATGATCGGTGTCTTTGTAGCATTTATCCACGTGTGGTGAAATCACCATATGAGAAGTGTCAGGACAGATTGACCAGAACTCGGTATCAAACTAGTCCATGAAGTCTCTGACTGCTAGTTTGAAGTGTGTGAGAAGGTGTAGGTTGCCTGACTGCATTCAGTGGTTGGAAACTGAGTGATACGGTTTAAAATTGATCGCAGTGGGGCAACTGTATTCATTGTTTGTCATCTGTGAAGTTTCAAGCCCTGTAATTAGCTCACATTAATTTATTATCTTCATTCATACGCTTTTATCCACTGTTTCTACCCACTTGTTGTTTGCATGCTTTTGTGAAGTGTGTCAACTTGGGCATCGATGCACTTCTGTATAAGATTCTACGTTGTTCTACGTCTGTTTGTTCCTCAAGGTCATCACTTACGATGACCGTATTTGAACGTCTGACTTTTAATAGGAAGCTAGACGGTTTTCAGTGAAACTCATCTGGCTGATACTATCAGTTAGTATCCAGTTAGAAAAAGAGCTTGTTAACTTACTAGCTAGTGCTATTACTTATTTATTTATTAAAACACAAAGGTGGTACAGCAATTGAATCAAGAAATTCACTACATAAAGTAATATAACAATACTATGAAGATACAAAGGGAAGGGAAGTAGGTAAAAGTATAACACAGAATATCATGATACGAAGGGGAGTCCAGTTAGATATATTCATTACTTTTCAGCAGCAGAATATAGAAGGAATCTACAGCATAGCTGCTACTGGTTTCGATTCTGAGCCATACCTGATAACGTCTCAAGCCACTGAGTTGCATGATTTCTCGGACGGGGGCAACTGTTTAGTGACTCAAAACGATACAAATAGACCAGAAATCCAAGCAATGGAGAGCAGCTGAGCGAAGTGAAGATGAAGACAAAAGCGAAAACTGTAATAATAGAAAAATACAGTCCATGTGTAAAAACAATATAATAGCAATAAATTGAGTAATAGGTTAAAAAGTTGGCAGTGCGGAGAACTTCACTATTCGCAGAAAGTTTAATTATTAGCTCCAAAATCTTTTTATATTGTAAGTTCATAGTTCATTTCTTATGTGAGGGCTGGGAAACTGCTTGGGCGGCCAGACTGAAACAGGTGGGACCACTCCCGAAGCCTTTGACTTAAAGTTTAGTCCACAAGGCAGTGGAGCAACATCAAGAGCTGCAATCCAATAGGTACTGGTAACCGAAAAGGTTAATACGCCATTCGTTTCATCTGTAACACATGAGCACCGCTGGTTTATAATCAGGGTTTTCCAATCCCCCTAGATAGACTCTTATTATTCACGAAACCGGTTATAAGTGCCTCACATTCACTTGTGCCCTTTCACGTCTGTGAAAATACCCTACCGTGTGAAGGCAGTGAATAGGATTTCTCTGATGGAGGCTGTGAATGCGTACCAGAGCATTTGGCTTGTGCTATGCCTGTACCTGAAAAGCCGCGAAGACTTACCTAGGAATCTTTTGGTACTTCAAGGGTAGATTTCGCAGGCTTACTACGCTAGTCAGATGCAGTCAAGTAAATGACTTAATTTTGGTCCTTTGTGCAGGTCTCACTAACACATCATAATTCCATTGCATCAGGTGTTAAGCAAGGCTTTTTGTTTGATTTGAAGAAGAACGTAGACATTGGAAGCTTTTAATTGTGATTCATAGTTCTGTTTTAGGAGACTATTGGTCCTATTTCCAGAGTCTGAGTCGTTATCATGATCTATAAAGCTAGATGAAGTTGAAAATGATGTAAAATTATTAACAGGAATGCAAAACCTATTCAGAGAAAGATGAATTAGAAGGTTGGCGGTGTGTAAAAACAAAGTGAGTATTGATAAGTGCGAGAATGTGATTACACTTCCGCTACCCACACTTTGAAAGCTACTTCTTGAAGCATGTGCAGAAGAAAGTAGATTAGTGAGGCTAGTCCTACCAATGTGAATCTGGGATCGCAAAACTTAAGGGATATCGGTTTGAGGCCGTCACAAACAGATTTTTAATGCGAAGTTTATTGTTTCACATCTGTACTGAAAAATAAGTTCTTATTGTTTCCAATGGAAGTCCATAGGACAAGGAAGAAGTATGCGGCTGGAAAAAGGCTCGAGGCGGCCAGACTAAAACATAGCACCAATGTTATGAAGTCTTTCGCTGTTAATTTGAGCCATGTGGGGCGATGCAGACTAAGTGGTTGGGGTCGGCGGGACAAGAGGAACCAGTGGCTGGAGACTATGTGATGTGGCTCAGAACCGAAGTCAGTGGCGCATATGTATACACACATTATCTTCATCTTAACTACCCTATACCGAATCTCACCATTTTCGCACTCTTCCTCTCTTTCTTTTCGTACTTTATGTTTTTCTTGACTGAATTTTCTTATCTTCGTCTTTCACCGCACTACCTTTCTACTTGATGTACTGATATGAGATGTGGCAACTCGGACCGTTAAGAAGTAATGCCTGGTCCTATTTTGATTTGGATGGATGGAGGGAGTAAGCCTCCTTAAAAGTTAACTTTTTCTACCCTCTCCTTCCAGAAAAGAGGAGACGTCGTCAAGTTTGAATATGGATTATCTTATAGAAACAGGCTACTGCTGTAACACTGTATTGGAAGCGTTACGAATGCTCCATCTGACCTCCTACCTTGGTGTAGTTTACTGACATCATGGTTTTAAATGATTTTAGCCTCACCACTTTCCAACTGTTCAGCAATGCTCTTCAGGTCATTGTGATACACGGATCCGACCTTTAGGTGAAGGTAACCACTGTCAGTCAGGAAGATAATGTAACCATCTACATCACATCAGCAGGTGACTTCTCTGTTGCTATGTCATCATAATCCACCGGACCTACCTATTCGAGCAAGGTGTTTGCATTCTGTTGGTCGGAACACCATCTCTCTGACGAGCGTCTACCGTACCGGTAAGGTTATTTGAATAGCAGTTATGTTAGAAGCATCTGATTTCAACTCTCGGAATATTAAGTCATGTTCTTGGTCGTGATCACTACCTTCTATTGGTGTTTTCAATCGAAACCGACGTGCAGATGTTCGGCAGATTGGTTTATTGGTGTCAAAAAAAGTTGAAATGCACTCAGCAACCTTGTACACATTCGCCCAGTAAGCAATAGGCCACACATATTGTGTGAGGGCTGATGATGCTACCTGACTGTCGAAACCTCGATAGGCAAAGCGGTGTTGGAATACGTGATGCACCGGTTGAAAGTCAGTTCCCTAAACCAATGAGTCACAACTCCACAGTGACTTACGAAACTGAATCCCTCTTCAACTAGAATTGTCTGGCTAATTACTTCTATCAGCCATGTATTATTATTATCTGTCCTTTGAGTTCTTAGTTGAACGTACGGCTTCAGTAGCCGTTTGCCACTTAACCCTCTTCTCTGCAGTCTTTTCAACCTGGCTCCACGACTTCCTGTAACCTCTCATTTCTTCCTCACACGGTCTCCTCCATGTCACCCTCGGCTCGGACACCTAACTCGTCGTTTCCCATTTCGGTTCCACTCGAGGACCTTGCCTGGTCTGGCCAGGTGCGTGATTTCCCCAAACCATCTTCTCAGTGTATGTCTAATTCATCTCCACTTTCTTCTGCATACACGTTGGGCAATAGCTTCGTGGTTGGTTCGTTGACAGCCACAGTGAGTTCCTTGTTGGTTATTCTTATTATTCTGGCCATCTGTTCTCCATCTTCAGTATCGAGTGTACGTAGGCGGCAGCTGTTGATGATGAATGTATTTTGTTGGAAATGCTTTTGGTAATGTGCCTCCAAGTCTCTCAACCATCACATAGAAGCACTGACTGACTTGATTGACATTAGTGTTGAAAATCCAGATATTGTTCATGCTATATGTTGAGTGGAGTGGAGTAGAGTGGATTGCAGTAGATCTTCATATTGATTTCAGATTGATGAAGGAAGGCCTGTTTTCCTGTCTTTCCGATCCTGGCTTTGACGTCCTCATCTATGCCTGTGCTGGCTGTAGTTAAGAGGATGCTGCTTAGGTAGAGAGGTAGGTAGGTGAAAGGGACTACTTCGTTTAGATTTCCCTCTTCCGTTAATGGTGATTGGTGCCTGTTGTTGTCTGGGTATCTTCATCACCTCTGTCTTCTCTACATTCACTTGAAGTCCGTCTTCGCTTCCTCTTCTGTCAACTTGTTAGTTTTCGCCTGTAGATCTTGGAGTGTGTGCAACATCAAACCTCACCTAGTTTACTAGTACACTAGTTACTAGCCGGTCCTAAGCCCGGGTAAAGGGGGAAGGTGGGGCATACGGCTAGCAACCCTACCCCGGAAAACCAATCCAATCGCTAAAGAAATTTCAAAGCACAAAAAAAAGCTTATTCCTCGCTGGAATCGGAGGGACGAAATGACGCCAGTTGGTGAAAGCCTTTCGGGGAGCTAATTGGCCGATGTGTGTTCTCCTCTCACGATGCAAGCAAAAGTAAATATGGGGAGACGTGGAATTTTCTCACAATATTTGAAGCTGGCAAGGCTGCCTAGATCAGTCATGTATAATACCTTTTTATATTTATAATTTATTCTTTTTAGAGCAAAATACAATTGAACAAACAATTACACCTATGCATGGATATGTTCAGACATCAGTTACCAGTAAACCACGACTATTAAGACCACTTTTGCCTAAAGAGCGTTCAATCATTGATCGATTACTGGATGCATTGGTTGGTGATGGTCCAGAGAAACGATATGCATTAATTTGTGGTGAATGTTCATCACACAATGGAATGGCCTTACAAGAAGAATTTGAATATTTAGGTGAGATTCACTTTAGAGTATATATAAACTATTTTATCATATTGATTTTAAGTTCTAAGCTAAATATAAACTTATTTTAGTCATATGTTTGGTATTTAATGTTTGAAGGTAATCCATGATGAAAGCTTTAATCCAAAGTTTCAAGCTTCTTTGCATTCATGAATAAGGTTTACCTGGAAATTAGTTATAATCGTCTGCATTTATCCTGAGTCGAGTTAATTGAACCTTGACTTTCAGGTAGGTACTAATTAAAACAAAACTATGTATGGCTATGATTCACAAAATGCAAAGTATTTGTAGCTCAGAAGGATAATTCTAATGATGTTGTGTTCTTTGAACTGGATGATTCAATCATGAAGTTTTCGTCGTTGTCTAGTTTGTCAAGGGAAGCTTCGCGAGCAAAAATAATCCAACTCATAGAAAACAATATCAAAACCATCCTTTTCATCTGCAAATACTCAATATCGTCTCGAAATCCTATGAGCAAGCGTTAGACACTTACAATTGTTCGGAAATGGAAGAATTTCGTCATTTAACAGATCTCTACAAGAGAACAACTACGAGTGTTTATGTCAACATATCCTACCAAGTAGTATCAGTTACTGACCGCTTATCGACTGGCAGATATATATAATACAATTGGTGATAACTGATGCTCATTATCAGATTTAGAAATATTAACAGACTACAAACAACCAAAAGAGAAAACTTCAGGGAATACTCACAGCAGGACACTTTGTAATGTTGGCAACTGCAATGGCGAAATCAAGCAGATGATACAAAGAACAGACAAGAAACATCCTCCGAGAGAAGCTTGCTAAAACATCGAAACTATGAGCATCTGAAGTACAAGAAGTAAATGACTGTGTAGTCAACTTGTGACCGAATTCGAGGGAATTCTGCTTCAGAAAGAACTAAGTTACAATACGGGAGAAGCTTCAAGACCAGAATTCCTCGTTTACCTGAAGTTATCACTGAGGACTATAGGACTAAAAAAACTGAGACTCAACAAGAAATATGACAAATAATTGTAACTCTGACCAGGAGGAAGCAAACCTGCACTTAACTAACTAGTAAAGGACAGAGAGCTCTTGAAAAACTAAAGCATAGAAAGAACATGGTAATAGTTCCAGGTGACAAAAGACGTACCACAGTAGTCATGGATAAAGACGATTACATCAAAAAGGTAGAAGACTTACTCATAGACTGATATGTCTTGATTGTATTGTGTTCTCTGAGCTGGGTTGTTTAATCGTGAAGCTTTCTTCGTTTTCCTAGACAACATCATCAGCACTAACTTCAGTATGAAGTGAACTGTCAATATCTCTCCGTGAATGATTTAGTGGTTTGCTCTGACGATGTGGTCTGTGATTGGTTGTTTCCCTTGATTGTTGTGTCATTGACTGACTGCATAGATTTTCCTATTCGCTGTTCCTCTGTTTGACATCTGACCTTTCTGTCGTTTATCATTTTTCTTATTGGTTGATAGATCGGGTCTATGCCTATACATCTATTGACTACTGACTGGGTGACTTGAATGCCAAGCCTCTAGGAATTCTTTGACATTCTTTGTGTTTCCTCTGTCCAAGATCACTTTCTACATTGTCGAAATTGAATTCATATCCATAGGTATCCACATGCATTGAAATGAGGAAGGAAACGTCATGGCGTTTAATAGCCAATCAGTGCTCATGTAGACGAAGGCGAAGAGGGTGACCACTTTGTCCAGTATAGTGTTGACTACAGTTATTGCAGTTGATTTTGTAAATGATATTCGGTTTGTCTTTGGTCTTTGGTTGTTGCATCCTTTGGTCTGCATAATAGTGTTTGTAGGGAGTTTGTTGGTTTATGAGTGGCCACACTAATTCCATATGGTCTCAGCAATCTTGTTGTGATTTCTGATATATTCTTTATGTATGTTAGGATGATGCGTTCATTGATTTCTATCGATGACTTTGTAGTTGATGATGTACGGGATAGGCATCTTCTGAAAAAGTTTCGTGGGTAGCCGTTCTTCTTGAGGGTGTGGATATCGAGTAATTTTCTTCGTTTCTCCATAAAGTTGTTGTGCTGCAGTGTGTTCTTGGTCTTTTGAATAGAGTTTGCACGCAACTGATTTTGTGTGTTGTTGGGTTGTTGCTATTGTAGTTGAGGATTTGGTCAGTGTGTGTTGGCTTCCTGTACACTTGGGTTTCCAGCTTCCGGCATTTGTCCTACTGACTAAAACATCCAGGAATGGTAGTTGGTTGTTTGACTCCTTCACCATTGTGAATTTTATGTCATTGAAAACGTTGTTGATCGAGTTGTGGGTGCTTCCTATATCATCCTTTTTAAGGACGACAAAAATGTCGCCTACATAACGAATCCAAATTTTTGGTTTGATCACAGGTAGAATGATGGCTTCCAGTCTCTGCATCACTGCTTCTGCTATTAATCCGGATATCGGTGATCCCATTGGAGTTTCTTTCATCTGTTTGTATATCTTGTCGTTGAATTGGAAGTATGTTGTCAGATAGAGGTCGATGAGTTCCATCAGACCTGAACATTTGAGTTTTGTGCGTTCTGAAAGGTTTGTGTCTTCATTGAGTAGAAGGGACATTGTTTCCTTTGCCAATTGAGGTTTGATGGATGTGTATAGTGCCGTGACATCGAAGGATACCGTTAATTCGTCGTTTTCTATGTGAATGTTCTTGATCTTTTTTTGGAATTCTGTTGGTGATTTGATGGAGTCTGCGTGATTGAACGAAGTGTTTCAGTTTTCTCGAAAGTTCTGTTGACATGTATGTTGGAGTACCCGGAGTTGAGACTGTTGTTGGTAGAGGGTTGTTTGGTTTGTGTAGTTTTGGTCTGCCGTAGAACCGAGGAAGGACAGGTCCATTCAGTTTCATTCGCCATTTATCTTGCTGGAAGCTTGGTATTCATGTCAGTCAGGAATCAACAGATGTATAGGCATAGACCCGATCTATCAACCAATAAGAAAAATGATAAACGACAGAAAGGTCAGATGTCAAGCAGAGGAACAGCAAACTGGAAAATCTATGCAGTCAGTCAATGACACAACAATCAAGGGAAACAACCAATCACAGACCACATCGTCAGAGCAAACCACTAAATCATTCACGGAGAGATATTGACAGTTCACTTCATACTGAAGTTAGTGCTGATGATGTTGTCTAGGAAAACGAAGAAAGCTTCACGATTAAACAACCCAGCTCAGAGAACACAATACAACCAAGGTCATCCACGTAGGCTACAAATATTCTTCGCTATTTCAAGACCAAAGTGTATATCAAATATCAAATATGTGACTCTCACGTCACCAAAACCTTAAACTCATCAAAGCGGAAAAATCGCGAAGCAAGGATACTTTCGAATGGAATCAAATGAACCTATTCTTTTACACCCAAAATACTCGGAAGAACTCTTCAGAAAACAAAAACATCAACTCTTCAACACAGTTTTTAGAGAAGATCAAGCATATTCATATTGAAAACGACGTTGCAACTCTATACACTTCAGTTAAGCCGAAACTTACTCGGAACACGCACACACACAACTGAACTGTTCAAGTTACATAGAATTAATTGATTTATGCCTTACTACAACATATTTCCAATTCAACGGCAAACTCTACAAACAGACAAAGGGGACACCAATGGGATCGCCTATATCAGGACTAATTGCGGAGGCAGTAATGCAAAGATTGGGAACTGTGGTATTGTCGTTGAATAAACGGAAACTCTAGATTTGATATGTTGATGACATGTTTGTCATCATTCAAAGAAACGAGTTAAATAGTGCTTACGAATTAGTGAACAACATTTTCGACGAGGTGAAGTTCACCATTGAAGAGGAATCAAACAATAAACTTGCATTTTCGATGTTCTTATCACTAGAAGCGATTTGGCAGGATTGTAAACTGAAGTATAGAGAAAACCAACTCATATGGATTAAATGTTCAACTACAATAGCAACAACCTAACAGTACACAAAATCAGTTGTATAAGAACATTGTTGAAATGGGTGAAAACACACTGCGGAGAAAAAAAAGCCAACTTTTTGACTGTTTTCCAGAAGAATGATTATTCACGTAACCTCATCAAAAAGGTTTTTATATAGTTCGTTACCAACCAAGAAGTTAACCTTGAAAACTAACAAACGGATTGTCGTACCCTACATAAAGAACGACGGGGATACAGCTCAGTGGTAGAGCTGTCAGCTGCAGGCCGAAAGGCCTGGGATCAAAACCCGGGTGCCCCGTCACTTCGCCACTCACACAAACACCCACGACCAACTAACACACGAGGATCGGAAAAGCAAGACAGACTTTCATTAATCTGAAATCACTGTGGAGATCTACTGCACTCAGCATAAAGGGTGAACAACATACGAATTTTCAACACCAACGTCAAGTTAAGTCAAGGCAGTGCTCCTATGTGATGGTTGGGAGAGTTGGCGCGTTACGAAAAGCATTCCCAACAAACTTAAAACATTCACCAACAACTGCCTACGCTCGTTACTAAAGCTCGGATGACCAGAAAGAATAGGCAACAAGTAACTCTGGCTGGTGAGGAACCAACCAAGAACCTATGGCTTAACAAACATGCAGAACTGGAAGGTGGAGATGGATTGGGGATACACTGAGAAGGCCGAATGGGGACATCACGCACCAGGCGAGGTGCTCGAGTGGAATCCAAAAGAGGGTGACATGGAGATTGTGTGAAGAAGAAATGAACGCTTGTTGGGAGTCGTGGCGCGTGGTTCAAAAGACTGTTGAGAACATATTGCAATAGAGGCGTGCTACTGAAGCCTTATGTCTCACTAGGAACCGAAGGGAAAATAATATTATAATAATGCATAAAGAACGTCTTCAAGGTCACGACCACATTATCCAAGCATTTTGGAATTACTGTATCTCACAAACCCATAAAATCTCTTCACTCTCTGTTATGCGGGCCAAAACAAGCAATAACAAAGGGAGACGAGCCAAACATTATCTACAAAATGAAATACAGAAGCTACGAAAAATACTACATAGGCCAGAGTTATCGCCTTCACATCTGTCTACATGAACATCAAGTAGCAATGAAGCTTCTTGACACATGCTTCACTCATATCATTGCATACGGACAACTGGGGAAATGTGGAGATTTTGGATAGAAGAAATACAGATAATTTTTAGAAGCTTGGTATTTAGTTCAGTTGGCAATCAACAGACATATTGACATTGACCCAATCTATTAACCAATAGGAAACGAGAAGAAAGTCAAATTTCAGGTCATCAGGACAACGAATCAAAATAAAAATGGAGACGACGACAAGACCTTAGCAGAAACGACCAATCACTCACAAGGTCATTAGGGTAAGCTACTAAACCACTTGTAGAGAAAAATCCTATAGCTCACTTCTTTCTAAAGTTTGTGCTGGTGATGTTGTCTAGGCTGATAATGAATACTTCACGATTAAACCATTGGAATCAGAGAACATGACATCAAATTTTTCTCTGTACGCTAGTCCAAGTGTACTGATTACAGAATATATATTCAAAACATAAATATTCTAAATGTGCCATCTTTTGTCTTGTATTCCTGAGTACTCTTGTTGTTAAAAGCGATACTGTCTATTGTTTCACTAAACAGATAATTTGAAGTCAGTTCATACTAACTACTTATTGAACCATTTACCTTATTCCATTATATCAAAGAAACTTTCTCTTTTCCAGAATGTTCGAAAATCTGAACTTTTCCCCAGAGAATCCTAACTTACTACTTGCTTACTACATCTAACTAAGCGGTTCATTTCAATTGATATGATAGACAGACAAACAGGCAGACTAAATCAACGTAGAATCTCACACTCAAGCACTTCACCTCAAGTTGCTGGACTCCACAATAGTATACAAAGAAAATGAGTGATATTCAAATATTCAATCTTCAGAAGACACTGGAGAGCGTATATATCTGTAGCATTGTCACTTGATTCTTACAGTCTCGAGGACCCCAGGTTGGTGCCACATAGTCTATATTTCTCCCACACAGTTCAGACTAACAATCAGGTACTTTATGAACTGGTATCATGTCTTGGTCTGGCCACCCTGAAACCTCTCCCAACCTAATCCAACTTCCTCTAGCATGACACGTCGAGATAGGTTGTGGATTAGCATGCGCAGTACATATCCAAGCCATCTCAGCCGATGAAAGTTCACTATTTCATCAACCAACTTACCTGTACCATTGACGTTGCCTTAACACTGCTCACATAGTGATTAAACGAATCGCTGGCAATTCTACAAAGGTATCTATGATCAACTTGTGACCGTTTTATATCTTTTACTTTCAGCGACCATGTCTCTTAGCTGTATATCAGAACAAAATGAACTACAGCGCAATATAGTCATGCTTTAATAGACAATCGGATATCTCACCAGTCGGTACCAGATATCATGCTAGTTGACAAATGCCAAACGAGCCTCTTTTATCCGAGGTGAGATTTTGTCTGTAATCACTCAACATTCATACGATAAACCTTCAACTACACAGGTTGGCCAGTAGTGTGTATCAATATGCTGAGATTCCAACTTTGCTTATTATCAAGGTGTTGTAAGGGAACAGTTTCATCAAATAAGTTACATAGGTGAATATTATTTCAAATTTCAGTACTAATAATTTCACTACTATTCCCCCTTTTTTCTCTTCAATTTCTGCATTTCTTTTAGCATTTCGATGTTGCTATTGTAATCACTTCAACCCAGCTCATCGTACTCGTTTAAAATCGCCTTTATCATTAAGAAATATTGGCAAATTCGATCCAACGAGTTCACAGTCTACACCTTGTCTGTCAGTGAAATCAACTACTGGATTGTTGGAAACAATGACAGAGGAGATGAGAACATCAACAGACAGCTTGAATAATATGAATGATGATGATGTTGTTGAGAATGCTGTCGTCGTTGGTACACTTGACAAAGAAGATGTTCACACAACTGTAATTCATGATTCTTATAATAGTCATACTAATGGATTCAACGTAAGCATGAAAGGGGATAAACATGATGATAGTAATGACGCAAAGAATAATAACACCAACAGTCCTATCAGTTCAAAACATTCACCTCTCAATAGAGAATAGTACTCAGAGAGGATGTTAAAATGCCCCTACATCATTATACATCTGTGCAGAGGGTCATTGTAGAATTATTATTATTATTTTTCTTCAGAATGTATTTACATTTATTTTACTGCAATATGATAGACTATAGTTTGTTCAATGGATTACTCTCTTCTTTTCCCTGTCTCTTCTCTGTGTATGTGTAAATGTGTGGTCCTGTCCGGTCTGTGTTTCTTCTTTGTACTCAATATTTTTTGTTTTGTTTTTTCGTTAGATTTCAATCGTCCATACTTCGAAAATGTGTATTTCTTTTTTTGTTTGCCACCTGTTCAACGTGGCTATGCTGTATGTCTTACTTTCTATGCATATTTTAAAAGTTTGCTGTCAATCACAGTTGATCTTCCTTTGTTACTTTTCGCCTATATTGCATAAATGATGTCAACTTAGTGTTCGTATGTCGGGTTGAAGAGAGCATCATTTGTATGTGTCTGAGTATCAATATGCTTGTGTGTATGTTTACCTACTGTCCTGTCTATCGCAACCCGTTTCTTCCCTTCAGTCTTGTTGATATGAAAGAGATGCTTTCAAGTATGCAGTTAACATTCATTTTGTGATATTGCTATGGTGCTGGAAATGATCCAGTACTGTTTCGGTCGGGATTCAGGGAAGAAATTACAATGTCGCTGATATTCTTGAGATGCATATGTTTTTTTTGTCCAGGAGGTAAGTCACTATGTTGTCATTCTTGACAGAGCCTAATTCTAGCAACGTACACATCATTCCGGTTTCTCTATGCATATGGTAAGAGGCTCTGAAGTACAGAGAAGTCGGAAACGCACCATTTTAGAGAAAAAATCTGACTTAAAACGCTGAATCAGTTGTGACAGTGTGTTTAATGATTGCACTTCTGATGGATTTACTCACACTCCTTTTCAGTCAACCGGGATAATGTTCTCTAACCTGTTAGGAAAGAATGCTCATCGACCGATATACATACGTATTAGGTGAATTGATAAACACTTGGAAATGGTCAGATGTCGAAGTTTATTTTTCGGGTTATCAGGATACGGACGACTGGAGAATATATTCCTCGAGATTGATATTACCAGCGAAATCACTCTTCAAGTCAGGATTTTTGTACAACACTGTAATGGGTAGCTTTCTTTGTGGTCTAGGTCCTATACTGTTGTCCTCAAATCGTGTTGGATATCTATTTTCAGGCAGAACATTTTTGAGAAACATGAGCTCGTCTTCTAAGCTATCAGCACTGCAGATTCTTTGACTTATACGTACTCAAATGTAGGAATTCACCAACTAACCATTCTATACAGGTTTTGTGTAGATAGACCTCTTTAATGTCCTATCATCTCGTCTGGTGACGATAAGTGGTGATAAAGTATTACTTACTGGATGATGACGTTTCGAGCAATACCTATCATTGTTCACAATCATATCAATGTAATCACACAACACTTCACAACTGATTTCTATAGTCCTATCACCTGATATCCTTTGCTTCTATTAGTAGGGAAATTTTCCATATCTGTAGTATAGGTGTTGCGTTATTCCTATTACGTGTGCTGGGTGGGTGTTGATTCGACGAACAAAGACTCAGTAATCAATCTCTCCTTCTCTCCACCCAATTATATTGGACTTAAATACGGTGGTTTTATGCCACCCATTCTATTGTGTGTTAATCCATGCACAGCAATAGCCGAGTGTTTTTCTAGATTATTTATCCTATTGGGGTGTGACATTCTACATGTAGCCAAATTCCTATTTCCCACTATTCTAACTGATCCCGACTGACTGGTTTGACAAATCTACTTGACCTCAAAGTCATTCCAAGAAACCGACACATTCTAACAGGTATCTAGACTTCAGGTCATCTCATCCAATGACAGTTATGGCGGGTTAGGTCAAATATTTAAATGACTAGGCTAGAAAACTCAAGTCATTGTAAGGACGTAAACAAGGAATTGAAACGCAAGAGAATCGTTAATAATTATCCCTCACAGTTTATTAAGAGATTCATAGGAGAATGTAAGCAATAAAGTGGTACCAGTAACACGAGTATGAATAATTACGACAACATGAATCGAAATAAGTTCAGAGTCTCTTTTGGGTTATCTTATCAGAAATTTTACGTGGAATTCTCAAAAAAGCTGGAAATAAGGTGGCATTTAAATCCACAAACTCACTCAGAGATAAGCTTTGTCGGCTGGTTTAAGGATCCGATAGAACCAATTCAGTAAGATAATCTAATCAGTTACATTCTATTTGATGACAGTGAGGTCAAGTACATAGGTCAAACTAGGCAGTCAGATTAGCGAAACATAGAAATTCAGCTAAATATAGAATGAAGGATAAGATGAATAGTCTAGAAAAACACTAGGCTATTACGATGGATACATTACCACACAATAGGGTGGGATGGAACCATTGTACCTAGGTACAATTTCATTAGACGGAGAGAGAAATTGATCCTACAATCTTAAAAACTACATTTAAAAAAATCTTATTCCTTCAGGATTATAGGACTTACTTCGATTGTAGCTAGGAGCGTTTGAAACATATCAGAGTTAGATTATCACTTTATCCGAATATATTGATAACTCATATATCTTGTCAATATTTCACAGCTATCAGTTATTACCTATTGTCTTTACCTTCTCCATTCATCTTGCTTTGATTACTAAACATTGCTCAAACTCTTTATTAGCCTACACCTGAAGTTCGTTACACGCTGCAGTGAATGGAATGAATTCTTATGCATCGACTAGTTATAAAGAAGCTTGCCAAATTCTTACATACAATCTAAGAATGGTCTGCAATTACTCACAGGAAGTAAATTGGTGGAATATGTCAAACACTTCACTTACGTGGGGAATTGTATCACCCAGACTGGTTAGTGATGAATCCTAAGCTCGGATACAGAAGGCTCATTTGGCACTCGCCGACTTACGTTATTTCTGGAGCCGACTATATTGCGCTGCAGTCCGTTTTGTCCTGCTATACAGCTGTGATATGGTCGTTAAAAGTAGGAGACATAAAGCGACTACCGGATTTCGATCGCAGATGTCTTCGTAGCAGTGCTGGCGTATAGTCGATTGATGAGGTAGTGAAACTTCATAGGCTGAGGTGGCTTGGACACGTTCTGCGCACGCCAATCCACAAACTAACTTGACGTTCCATGCTAAGGGAAGTTGGATAATATTGGAATCGGATTCAGGCTGGCCAGACCAAGATGTGTCATCAGTGCATGAAGTCGGATTCTTGGTCTGTGCTATGGGGTCACCTAGGTGATAGAAATCAGTGGTTGAGCACCCCGTCATTATGGCGCAGATGTACTCACTCATTGACGTCTTTAGCTTGAATATTTGGCCTAATCCTTGCCTTCAAACTCCCTATTCTCTCATTCACCTTCATCTATCTTGATATCATTCTTTTTCATTCTCATCATCATCAACATAGGACCAGGCATTACTGCGTAACGGTCCGAGTTGCCACATCTCATATCAGTACATCAAGTGGAAAGGTAGTGAGGTGAAAGATGAAGATAAGTAAGTTCAGTCAAAAGAAATATAAAGTACAAGAAGAAAGAAAGGGAGAATGAGAAAATGGTGAGATTCGGTATACTGTTAAGATGACGATAATGTGTGTGGGGATACATCTGCGCCACTGACTTCGGTTCTGAGCCATATCCCCTAGAGTCTCCAGCCACTGGTTTCTCTTATCCCACCGACCCCAACCACTTAGTCTGCATCGCTCCACATGACTCAAACAAACAGTGAAAGACTTCATAACATTGACGCTACGTTTTAGTCTGGCCACCTTGAGTCTTTTTCCAGCCTGGGCCTACTTCGGCCAGCATTGTGTGATAATCTAACTCTTACTGTTCCTGCTCTAGAAACTAGAGATCTGTTTATCTTGTTTACTCGATTACAGCACTTCTCAGTGAATCAAGTCACGTTGAGGAATGCTAAGTGTGTCTACTAAACCACCCCTTGTCAGATGATATTGTATAGCTAGTGAGAGATTTCGAAGGACTATTGAGTGGCGAAAAGCAGGCAGATTTAAAAAGCACTTCTGTGTGACCATCTTCCCACTGACTTTCAGTCAGGTGACAGAACGTTGTGTCAGTTGAAATGCCACATGCGGTTACCTCAAAACAAACTATATTTATATATATTTCAAGTCAGTATTCACCATGGACTGACATAAGTTGGAGGAACGTTGGTAACCTGGGAGCAGTGGGCAGCGGTTTCGTCCTAGTATGAGAGTCCTCAGCAGTGCGCACCAATGACCTTAACTCTCCGGGAATGGAACCCGCGACCTTCGGGTTCTATGGTCAGCTTGTTACCATCGGGCCACTGGGTCGAAATCTATGATGAATACCAACTTGAAAAATCACTAAATCCCCACAAACTTCGAAATTCAATTAATCTAGCGCTTATTGATGACTAGCTTCGAAGGGTGATTCCTGAAGTTCCAATAAGAAGTCATGACCAGTGGGGCAAACTTGGTTGTTGTGAGGACAAATTTTCAACGACGACATTGGGTGATGGTCTGGGTATGCTGTGAACTGACAAAACTTGGAAATATGGACCATTGGATCTCCTACCTAGCGACTCAACGGTGACGTACTGGCCACGGAACCTGAAGGTCCTGGGTCCGATTCCTGACTGGGCGGGGTCGTAGGTGCGCACTGCTGAGGAGTCCCACACTAGTGGGATGAAACGTCTGTCCAGGACTTCCAGGCTTCCGAAGTTTCTCCAACAAACGTCAGTCCATATTTTGTCTCAAAACTTGAAGACTGGAGAGATCAAACGTAAATAAACCCCTAGCATAATTTCTTCAGCCGGTACTTCGCTTCTGTTAATAAATTTGAAACCGATGCTAAGCTCATTACCAACAGTTTTTCATGGTGATATTGCTAGGAATGGTGTTAGTTGGATGGAGCAATCGGTAGGTTGTCCTACCCCACCTATGTTTTGTACTTTTTGGTACTTGTCAGCAAGGCGTATCTAGAAACTCGGTGGAACTGGTATTCAAACCCGTGCTACCCAATGATGAAG